CTTCCGATCTCCCCAAAACCCCAAAACCCCAAAACCCCGCGTGTTAGAATATGTTATCACTTCAAAAGTCCTTAATTAAATGATTTATGGCCTAATGAAAAATCAAACCTCTATTAATAACTTAATTAATTTACCGATGAAATCTCCTAATCCATACAAATTTTAATTAATATAGAATAGACTTAACAAATTTCTAAAAATTATATTCTCAATTTACTAAACATATATTCATGCTACCACTAATTCTGATCTTATTTCTCGCCCTATAATGCTTAGGGACTACATCTAAAAAATGCTTTAATCAAAATTAGTTTCCAATGGCATTTGCAAAGGAAGATAACTCAATCTAGATTTCTCAAATTGAAAGTAACAGTTTAGGGGAGCTGTTAATAGGAGGATCAATAACAGACCTTGTAAATGCTAATAAATAAGCAGTAGTGGGCTATTATTACAATAGAAACAACTATAGCAGACTCAAATGGTTTAGATAATATGAATTTTCTCCAAGCTCCAATTTCGATGCGATAGATGTGTAAGCCTTAGCTTTCAGAGATCGAGACATGAGAGTGATGTTCAGAACAAACTAAGATAAGTCAGTTATTGCGAAAATTGAAACACTAAATGGACGTTTGGCTTACTAGTTCATTGTAGTAAATTACAGGCAATCAAGTTTGCATAGCCAGATGTTAATAGCACCAGATGGCTCTATTTATGGTGTCTTTGATTAATACGATACATTCTAAGAGGGTATTTTGTTCAAAGTTGATTCTGGATATAATTGATATATTTTCCAATACCTTATTTCTGGATATGGATAGTTCTAAAGTATAAAATACGATGAAAGCTCAGATAAAATAATCACTGGGGGCAGCTAATGGAATAACGGCTAACCGTTTGCTTTTCATATGCATATAATTAATCAGGACTCATCTTTATTCTTTTACCAATACTACGCTGATACTTCATCACCATTTGAAAGTGAAAGTTCCAAATATTATAATGCTTAATTTTCAATATTTGAGTACAGTCATGGTGATTAATTTATGTTTGGCTGTTATCAAAAAAATATTGAAAATGAGCAGAAGCTTCTTGGTATAGTAGTATAATCTATAGGTGATAAGACTTAAATGTTCAATTATGAATTCTTTTTTGACTAACCTGTATTTTGCGAAGGTTTGAGATATTAAGATAATGCACTTCAAATATAAGCTCTTACATAATTATAAGGGCTACAAAAAGTTCTTATGATAAAATTGAAATACATTATTGAACAGACTTATGAAATTGATGATAATGTTGAAATAATTGAAATAGTCAAAAGTACATAATCAAGTTAAACGATGGATATTACTAGATAAAGACTATTATTGACTGGAACAGTAAACTTCTTCATCGGTAGAGATATTAGTAATAACCTTGCAGCTATATTTTCAGATTCTGCAAGTTATAATTGTTACAATTCAATAAAAACAAGCTAAGATTTAATTTATACTCTCATCCCTTATCTTGATTATGGCTTCTTAAAAACTTTAGAATCACTTTATACTGAATTAAATTACTTCAAAATTATTAAGAAAAGTCCTCTTAACTCTCCAGATAAGCCTGGGGAAGTTTCTGGTATCTATTAAGTACCGGATTTAAGGAATACTTAATTGAAGTTTGACGATAATAAAATTAGTTGTACAATAAGTGGCAAGCTAGAATTGATAGAAACGCCAGGAGTTGATGCTGGTAAAACAATCATCTGCTATGAAGAAAATCTATAATCTTGTAAATTTGACTATTCAACTTATGTATTTGATGAGTGTGATGAGCCTATTCTTATTACGACAAAAGTTTAAGACAGCTCATACTCTAATTTATTTACATCAAATAACCTTGAGGCCTCAAATAAATAAGAAGTTCTCCTAGACTCTTCATTGATTACTAATAATCCTTTAAGAATTATTAAAAATGACCCTTCCTAGTATACAAGAGTTTATGCTACAGCTACTTTTGATGATTTTGAGTATACTGAAAATTTTAAAATTGAGATGAATATTGGCTATTAATAGTGCCTCCCCTAAATATCATTAGTCAATGCACCAATGATGACAAATAAAATTTATGAGTATTTTATAAAAGACTTACCCCTATCAGTATAACTTCCAATTATTACATATACACCTAGCGCTTGTGGACAGATTCACTATCACTTTTCAATAGAAGGCTATACAGATTTTCCATCTATCTTTAGTTATGATTAAGATAGCAGTTAAATTAGTGTTGTATCTAATGATCTGAATGACGTTGGAGAATATGAGTTTCTAGCGAGTGCCTCAGTATAACTTAATGACGATGTTTTTAGTCCTTAGTTGAGCTAGTACACATTTAGAATCAGTGTGAAGGAAAAAGTACTGCAAAGGAGTTAGACGTATGTGAACTATCCTCCTAAATTAACAGGTTTACCTTAAGATTAAATTATTAACTGCGGTCAATAGTCCCAATATTAACTACCCTAAATTTTTGATTTAGAAGGTAATAATGTTGTTGTAAAGCTCAAGTTAACTTAATAAATGTAATTTACAAAAATCTAAAGCAACTCTAATAGTACCTTTGAGTTAGTGTATAGCCCAATTTGTGATTTAGATGAGGGAGATTATATCGTTAAAATTGTAGTTTAAGAAAAGGAAAATGTGAAGTAATAAAACTCTTACTCATTTAATCTGAAAGTTCTAGCTGTTTTCTAGGTCAATTTAAATTCAAGTTCATATTTTGAGAATGGATAAAACTTGTCTGTTAAATAGCCATTACAATCAAATTTGAGTGGATAAGTAAAAGCCAGAATATAAAAAATAACACAAGCTGGCATTGTTCACATAGTATTTGATAAATCAATGAAGATTCCAATAACATATGAACTAGTTCTTAATGAAACTTTCAAGATTGAGGTAATCAATGAACGATATGCATATAAAGTCAACTATACTATTCGAGAATATAAAGATAACCAACTTATGCTATAAATGAAATTCAGTTAATCAATGAGGAAATCGATCTCAATTCATGATGTAAGAATATTTTCGGTTATGACAAAAATAACTTTATAGACTGATAACTTAAGACTAACATTCGTTAAAAATGAGTTCTACTTATCTTCTAACGAGAGGTTTATAGTCACAAGAAATTATTAATTGATAGGATATATTCCTCCATAAATTGATCCAGGTAATTAAATCTCATTCATTTACCAATATTGATCTTAGATTCACAGGAATTACAATCAAGCATTTATAATGCAACAAAGTGGTTTACAGTAACTTTATTTGGACTCAGTTTTATACTTTGTTTCATTTTGGGTTATACTTTATCATTGATATGGGGAATGATTGAAAATCTTCAATTAATTACCCACTTGCCTTTGATTAAAGTTTTAATTCCCAGCAATACTTTGTCTTTCTTTGCATTCATGAACGACATATCAAGTCTCAATCTAATCCCAATAGATGATTTCAATCAGAAATACTTAGAAATAGATCTTTATGATGATTAAGCTTTTAACCAGTATTTTGATTTCATGAATTATTCATCGAGTAACACAATCATTAACCTTGGACTACTTTTCTATTTCTTTATGAGTCAACTAGGAATGGTAGCACTGGCACTAATGATTAAACTTTTTAATTTACACAAGAAATAGTAAGTTTATTTTCAATTAATTACTGTAGGAGAATATTAAAGAAGATACACGATGAATCTATCTTCAACGCACCTTTAAGATTTATGTATTCAACCTATTTAGAGTTATTTTTCTGCTCTATTTCCAACTTATACTATGTATGTCTTTTTGCTTTGTGAAATCGTTTTATAGTTTAAAATTGCTTTACTAGGTGAGAAACTTTCTTCAACTTTGTCTTTTATATTCATTTCCATGCTATTTGCCTTTCCAATTCTAAGCTTCTACTTAGTTTTCAGGATTCATGAAGAGCAAAGAGAAAACAAGTTCACCAATTTACTCTCAAATTCTCTAAGAAAATTTGTAGGGTAATTTACTAAAACATGTGGAGGTCTATACATCGAGGGAATTAAAGATGATAATCTGATTCAAAAACTTTATGTTCCTTTATTGGTATTGAGAAAAGTGTGCGTATGTTTGATAATGGTATTCATACAAAACTCTTAAAATATTTAGCTAATGTCCTTGATTTTTTTCAACTCCTTGATTTTGTTCTTTATTATACTAGTTAAGCCACTTAACGATCCTAAATAAGTGAAAATAACTATAATGAACGAGTTGATGTACACAATAATATGCTATTCATTTCTACCATTTATGGACAATAATTACTTTCTTGATGCTGATCTTCGAGAGAGATTGGGATTTATCCCAATAGGTCTGACACTTCTATATATGATTTTAAACCTTTCATTTATTCTTAAAGAGAACATTAATAAACTGAGAGAGTAGTGTACCAAAAATAAATCAAAAAGGCAAAGGAAGTTTAAGACTGAGTTTCAAGAATATAAAGTTTCAAGCAATGAAGCTATTAACAAAACTATGTTAAGCAGTATAGATCTTTCAGATTGCTAAGAAACAATACTTTTTAAACGTTCTACTAATCATATAAGAAATATTGAATCTCGACGGATGAATAAAAGACCAACAATTTCAAAGCAAATATTTGAAGTTGAAGATATATGAATGATTGTTGGAAAAACCTAAGTATTAGCTTAGATATGTTGATGATTGTAATATCATAATTTCTAAAAAGTATAATATTAAGTTGATCTATAATAACCATTTAAGTTGCTAATTAATATAAACTAATTTTAAACCAATTGATTAACACTCTTAATTTAATAATCAAAATATAAATAAATTATGACTATATCTATATTTTGGAATCCTAAAAATTTGATAAATTGCATCTCAAGGGGTTTTGGGGTTTTGGGG